TAAAAGTTGATAATCCACACTATACATATATTTTATGCTTTTTCTCTTCTTGGATCTTGTTTTTTTGAGAAAAATGATTTTTTTCTTCTTGGTTGGCTGGATTGTTTCTCCATTTACTTCTTTTTGCCATCTTCAATGTCTACATGAGAGAACCTAATGTAATTTCTGACAACCCGGCATTCCTTAGGAGAAACAGAGGTGGTACCAAGGCCTCAGTAAGTGTTCTAAACCTTTGATATTTGACAAACCTTCCAAAATCAAAATCTCAAGTTCTAAGCTCAGTCCTTTAGACTTCATTAATTATTTAAATGTTAGGTCCCCTGAAGTCTAAATGAGACATCTGGCTTATTTGGCATGCTGAAATCACAGAGTGAGCACTGTCAAGTATGAATTGGTATTTGGCTTTCTTTGGCTTTTATTTATATGAATGTGTTGTTAGTATGTATTCCAGAATTGTGCAAGATTCCTGTAACTCCAATATTATTTAGTATATGTTATCAGTAATAATAATTGTTATATTAAATTGCATACCACAAAAATAACCCAATTTCCTTGTTAATTGAGTCTTAAATCATAGCTGGTCTAAGCCTCCTGTCATTCATGATTATTATTATTATTATTTTTTTTTTTTTGAGACGGAGTTTTGCTCTTGTTACCCAGGCTGGAGTGCAATGGCGCGATCTCGGCTGACCGCAACCTCCGCCTCCTGGGTTCAGGCAATTCTCCTGCCTCAGCCTCCTGAGTAGCTGGGATTACAGGCACGCGCCACCATGCCCAGATAATTTTTTGCAGTTTTAGTAGAGACGGGGTTTCACTGTGTTGACCAGGATGGTCTCGATCTCTTGACCTCGTGATCCACCCGCCTTGGCCTCCCAAAGTGCTGGGATTACAGGCGTGAGCCACCGCGCCAGGCCCATTCACAATTATTTTTACTTCGATTAATTTCAAAGGGTGATTTTATAATCAGTTATGGGACTCTGACAGGTGCTCTTGAATGCAGATTTCTGATATCTTTAAAGATTGTGCCATTAATATACAATGAAACACTTCTAGGACTCTCAGGAACAGCTGATCAAACAGAACAGGAATTAACTGTATGAGATGAACTAAGAGAATAATGAAATAATCTTTCTATGACTATTTACTTTAAATGTTTCTGATCCTTTTTGTTTTTCAGGGTCAAAAAATCAACTTTTCTTTTGAGCTGTTTATAGCTTTTAACAATTGAGTGAAGCATATTTCTAATCAGCAAACTTTGGAGCATATTTCTATCTACTTGATTTCTCCAGAATTTTGAAACTAATTGTTAAGTATTCTTAGCTTATGGCAATAATATTAAAAAAAAAAAATCTGGTTTTTTTGTTTTTTTGTTTTGTTTTGTTTTGTTTTGTTTTGTTTGCAACAGGATACAACTGGAGGCACTGATTATGTGACTGGAAATGGCATGGTTTCAGCCTGCTTTGAGCAACTGAGGTTGACTTATAGAGCTGATAACAGCCCCTTGGAAATACTGGTCTCATACTTTGTCCTTTCCAGGGCTCTTAACCTGTAGTAAGTAAAGTGTGTCACTTTCTGACAGACAAGGAACCACGAGTTATAGTGGGTTCTCAAGAAAAGAGAAATTCACCCAATTCATACAGGTGGCTGCAGGCACAGATGAATCCCTGGCTGAGCTAGAGACTGTTAAAAGGTCTAATCTGGGACTCCTTATGAAATAAATTCCAGCAAAGCCAATTTTTTTTTAAAGAAACCTATGTGGCAAATAACTATTCTTGCTGTATTTTATGCAAATAATCACACCAAATATAATGGGACTGGATCTTATTCTGCAAATAAATTGGTCCTACTATGATTTGTGTTTGGTAGAAATGGGGAACTAGAGAAAGAAAAATTGTTTCAGGAAAAATTGCAGTACAACTGTTATTAGATTCCAGCCTTGTTCACTGTGTTTGTGTCTCTGCTAATGACCCCGTATCTGATTGATTGATTCTTGGGGTCATTCAACTGCATCCCTTAAGGCTTCAGGTCAGTTCTACAGGGATTTCTGAAGTGAAGACTTTCCCTCCTTATGTTGGGGTTAATTATTTGTCTTATCATCCACCTGTTCACTTCAGTGCTATATGAAATCTGTGGATTAAGAGCACCAATGTTTTGTTATGCAGACCTTGGAACCTCAATCTGGTACACATGAATACATATCAACAATTACAAGACAGTTTCACTCTTCTTATCCTGAGGGCAACTCCCGGCCCAACTCTGCCCCTATGAGCAGGAAGAAGTTAGAGTGGCTGTCAACCTTTTTCCATCTCCATAGCCCACCGATTAAGAATAAAGTATGATGAAATCCAAAGGAGGGTGACTGAAACTGCCTTTGCAAAAACTGTAACAGTGAGAAAATTCTGACCTAACCAACTCAGTCTTGCCTTTAACCTCCAAACTGCCCTTGGTCATTTGATATGGTTTGGCTGTGCCCCCACCCAAATCTCATCTTGAGCTGTAGTTCCCACAATTCCCACATCATGGGCGGGACCCAGTGGGAGGTAACTGAATCATGGTAAATGATAAAATAGACTAGTATCTACATACATTTTATCATGCTGTTCTCATGATAGTGAATAAGTCTCATGAAATCTGATGGTTTTATAAAGGGGAATTCCCCTGCACAAGCTTTCATGTAAGATGTTCCTTGCTCTTCTGCCATGATTATGAGGCCTCCCCAGCCATGTGGAACTACGACTCAGTTAAACTTCTTTCCTTTATAAATTACCCAGTCTCAGGTATGTTTTTATTAGCAGCATGAGAACAAACTAAATCGTTTTTGTAAAACTAATAAAAGCCAACATGTTAGGAGGATGAGAGGGGTCTGAATTCTCCTAAGATGTAGGTGTAAATGACTATGAGCCATTATTCCAGTGGATTGCAGCTTCCCTAATTACTCAGGTAATTAACATCACTATCATAGAACCTACAATTGGCCTTTTGAGGCGTTTTTTCAGGCTTTCTCATTTCTGATGACTGATGTCCCACCTGGACTCCGTTTCACATGGGGACCATTTTCTACACCCCTATTACTCCATCCCCAATCAATCAGCAGCTCCCATGCCCTAGCCCCCTGTCTGCCAAACTATCCTTGAAAATCCCTACCCTGCAAATTGTCAGAGATTGATTTCAGTAATAACTCCATCTGTCACATGCCAGAGTGGCCTCATATCAATTAAACTTTCTTTACTGCAAAAACAAACAAAAAATAAAAATAAAAAAAGAAACCAAAACCCCCTTTATTCTCCAGTGACAACTTGTCTGCTGCCTCTTGTCTGCTGCCTCTTGGTCAGCAAAAGATCCTTCTCCTGTTATCTTGACTTCATTTTTAAGCCAAGCCTCTTTCAAAAATTATCAAACCATCCTTTGCTGGCATTAAACTATCCAGCTTTAGATCTTTCATCTTTTCTTTTTTTAAGTTTCCATATAATGATTTTGCTTATTTTTTTCCTCTCTCTCTCTGTGGCTTAAAATCCAAACTCCTTCTGACAGCATCTAAGATCCTCCAACACCTGGCTGTATCCTAGATTTCCTACTCCATTTCCAGCCTCCACATTGCCTCCAAACACTAACATCCCAGACTTTTCATCACTCTCTGCTCACTCTGTGGAATGATTTTGCTTTTCCTTGAATCATATTAGTCTATAGGTATGTCTTTCTTATAGCAATTCTATACTCACATAAAAGCTATATTTTCATTGTAAGAGATTTTACAAGAAGTACAAGACTTTTGCACCTGTTGGCATATCTGTAGCTACAACATCACAATTTCCCCCCCATATATACACACACATACACACACACACACACACACACACACACACACACACATATACACATAGCAAGCAATTCAACTTTTTCTTTTTAATGTCATGACTTTTCTCTGCTTCTTGAAAGTACTTCCAGCATCAGTAGTGCCATGCTAAATGTGTCCTCTGGTGTTATCCAAGGCTTATGAAATTGCACTAAACATGATAAAAAACACATGAGGACTTCAAGATCACTTTTTCCTGAAGGGAGGAACTGCTCACATGGCTATGATTGTCAAACAGTGTTTTAAGCAGATAATCACAACACTTGAGTTCACTGCGAAAACAACAGGAGGTGGCTACAAAATTATTACATTAGTATATACTATAGTTAATTTTATGTAGTTACAATTTAATACTGCATCATTGCGTTTATTTACATATCTTGACTACAAATAGCACCATGGTGACTGTTAAGTGTCTGTGTGCATAAGTTTTGATAAATTTTAACTTTTTGTAATAGATTTATGCATATTTTATGGTAATAAATGATAGACTAGTATCTACATACATTTTATACATTCATGACATGCCTTTTCCTTAATTTTTTCAACATTTCCAGGCTACTTAGTTCGTCTGTGAGTTTTTTCAAACCACTGCAGAACTTCAAAACATTTTCCAATATATTTATTTTTAAAACCCACATATAAGTGGACCCACACAATTTAATCCCATGTTGTTCAATGGTCAACTGCATAAAACAGGGTTTAAAACAGTGCTTGGCAAAGAGTAAGTACTGAGAATTAATGCAGGTGAAATTGTAATAGAGGCTTAGAAATTCAGAACCCTAAAAACTTACACACATGAACATTTCTGACATGTGTGTAACGTAGGTGAAACTATAATAGAAGCTTAGAAATCTAGCACCATAAAAACTTACACATGGCCCTTCTTTTCACTAGGGCTTGACAACCACCTGGTCAAATATTGTACTGGAATTAGATATACGTCTTCTTCCATATCAGCAAAATTCTTTGTACAGAATTGAATTCTACAATTCTGCTCACTATGATTATAATTATTACCTCTCCCATTCCACCAATTCATTCAGATCCTATGACCAAAATTAATGAATTAACTCCTCTAGGTTTTAGAATTATCTAACTGCTAAATGCTCCCACTGTTAGGCTGTAGCAACACAATATATCATACCTTCTGGATTTCTTCAGGCAAAGCATGCATGGGAGTGTGACGATCCATAATTTCCCCAAATACAGTGAGCGAGCTTTGAAGAAAAAAAAAAAATCTAAGAACATTGATGACAACAGTCAGAACAGAAATAATGTAGAGAACATTCAAATTCAGATGCTTTATAAATTCTTAGAAGTATTTGGGGATGAATGGTGATAACTGTTTCAATAGATGCTTATTTCATCAGCTCAATGTTAGAAGGTACAATTAGGGTTTTCTCCATTAGTTATTGGGCCAATAAAATGGGAGAGAACTATAGAGACTGCTAAGTTAGAAATCTTTTCTCTTTTGTCAGAACTTTAAAGTTTAATAGTAATTTTTGTTGTGATTTACTACTATTTTTCAAATACATAATAACTAAAATTTTAAATACATATTTATTTCGGGATATTTTTAAAACCAATTTTTCTGAAATGCCACTAGAAAAAGTATAAAACATAGTATTTTAGTTCAGCAGATGAAAAAAGCAATTGTGGCATGAATGCTGGATTAAATAATGAAGCACAGAAAAAGAACATTTAGAGTTACCAGATTAAATATGATATGCAGGCACTGAATAGAAAAGTGGTCAAAACAGAAGAAGCCAAGTGCCAATTTTATCTAAGATGGACATTTACTTAATTTTATGCAGATGTTTTACTTTTAACAGATTTTCTTTTTCTAATAAAAACCATTCAATGTAAAAGTCAGTCACTACTTTCATAAAGCCACAAAGGATAAATGGAGGAGCATTTTGGGTTCCTTTTTTTAATCCTTCCCAAATATGGAAACAGTCTAGTTTCATGAGTGAAGGCTGTTTATACATATCTAAGGAGTCAGGGGAAGGGGGAAGGCAATGGCAGCAAAGTCAGGTAATGCAGGCACAATTCCATAGCAGGGAAAAACCTTTGAGGACCATGAGTTAAGGACAAGAGCAGTCTCTTGCCACATGACTACGACGATCAAGAAAGAAAAATATCTTATGTTTCAGATGGGAGTTGGGAGTTAGTGAAGGCTTCCTGAGGTTTTTTACATTTAGTCAGGGCAAGATTTTGACAAGAGAGACTGGAGAAGGCAAGTACTTTATCAGAGAGAGCAACCCCAGCCATACAGCAAGGTAGCAGGAAAACGGTAGTTGACAAAAAGTCCTATCGTGGCATTATTTTTGAAAATGGTGCAACCACTGGTAGAAGAGGAGATTCCTCGTCCCCTGCGTTAGCACCAAGACTCATTTCAGTGAGTTGCTGTTCAAAACCAAAAACTAATGAGCTTTATGTCTCCCCACATAAAACATAATATGACATGTGTGGTAAAGTTAACTGAGGTCTGCAACAGAGGTACCATTAACCATGTCAACATAGGCTCAAACGTAATCTTATGTTTAGCAGATCATCATAATCATGTGGCAAGAGCCCAGAAGGCTCATTATTCTCATTTCTGTCATTTAACGGTGGAACTGTCATCAGTAAAATAAAACAGTAACTTCAACTCTATTGGGAGTAGAATTTTCCAAAAAATTACCAGGTAAACATCCTTTTAATGTTTCACCGGTAAAATTATCTGAGAGCGCAGATCTAAATGACAATATAAACAAAGCACCAGTAGAACAGTTTTTGTTTAGCGTCTACAATGTGTGTGAATCTATTCCAACTTGATGGCCTCACCATAAGAAGGTGAGGAACTGGTAGGTTCTGATTATTTGGGGAAAATTAAAAACAAAATATCCTGCCAACCCAGAAAATGCTCCACAATGCAGAAAGACAATTTTATTAGTAATGAGGCATTCAACTAGACTTTGATGAACATCATAGCTAATCTACTAATGAAGTTACAAAGAAGGAAATCCCACTTTTCTTTATACAGTCAAGGAGACACAATCCATTACACACACATTCTCAAGAAAATTGGTAACTAGTCCTCATATAAGAGGGCTTAATATAGTGTTCTATACATTCTTTTATATTTCCTCTTTAATTCACGTGGTAATTGGGGTAACCACCTGTGTTAGCTAACGGTTTTCCTCCCAATGCATAGCTCTGTAACAAAGCAGGTGTTTACAATTAGGAATAATGCATCTAGGTTAAACTTCCAAAGTGACAAGGAGATTGGGGCCCTATCTTCTTTGATGCTTACATTTTAAAAGAAATGGCTTCCAGCCCCTCAAGAAAAGCCTTCCTCGGTCTTTAAAAAGATTTGCATACATATTAAATAGAGGAAGCATTCACAAACACTAAGTTTCTCAAGAAAAAGAAAGCAACAGGGAAAATTCTGGCAACAGGGAAAATTCGTGATTTTTAAATTTAGTCTTAGTTTTGAGTGTGTTATCAAACAAGTCCCTTTAATTCTTTCTCATTACATGTGTGTGGACTGCCCTTTGGTAAGAAGTGCAGTGATGTAGCTGCGGCTATGTGCGTGTTTGTGAACCTGCTTTCTAACAAGATTACTGAAAAGACATTTTTAAAAATGCAGACACGTGCTTGTTCATTTCCAATTCCCTTTCTCACACTAGTGTCACGTTAGGCCATTAACTGACGTTCAGCTTTCAAGCCTTACGTAAAGAACCATTCCCTTGGGGTGAATCACCCCCAACGAGCAGGTCAGGGGCAGAAGACGGGAGTTCACGTCCCAAGACTTCCCTGAAGCGGCGGGATCTTCCACACAGAAACCAACCGCAAGGCCAGACAAAACTGCTGTAACGGCCTTCAAATTTGTCCCTTTCTAACCCCGTTCCCCTGGAGCTGCCGTGAGGAGGAGAGTGCGGGGGTTAGGAGGCAGAGCCGCGCGTTCCCCAGGACTGGGAGGAAGGGGGACCGAGCCTTGGCCCCGCGGGCTGGCGGAGGCCAAGAAGGGGCCGCAGAGGAGCGTGGCGACTGAGTCCAGGCCCAAGGCCTCGCGCCCTCGCTGGGGCGCCGCGGCTCAGCTTTCTGGCCGTCTCCCCGGGTGCGAGCACGCCTCCACTCGGGAACTGCATTTCGGCAGACTGTGTCATCACAGGCTGAGGAAAACCATCGTCTCTCACCTCGACTTTGACTACAACGGGTGTGAAATGGCTTTCCCGATCTCCCGGACGACGGTGCCACACGTCGGCTTGACGTCAGGGCGCGGTGACGTCACGGCCCACGCCAGTCGTCAACGCTTCCGTGCACCGCCCAGGGCCTCACGCACCGGGCGGAAGTGTGAAAACTGGTGGCGGGGCTAGGAAGGCTGGGGCTGGGAAAGCTGGGCTAATCTTAGGCGGAGTGTTGTGAGAGGGAGGGAGAGAAGGGGATCGAGGGATGAGGCGGGCGAGGGGGCTTGATAACGGCTGCTGACATGGAGGGAGCCGTCCCAGCCTCGTGCGGGTGGGGGGGATGGAGAGAGGCACTGCCAGGAGTCGGGGGCACCCCAGGCTCTGGGCCTGTGTGACCGACACAGCAGTGAGCAGTTACTGTTCTTGAGCGGAGGAAAAAGAGATGCCTGTGGAGGTGCCTGTAGAGGTCATGGGAAGTTCTGGTCTCAGTCGTTGCAGCGAGGGCAAATTAATTGGGAAGGCTTTGGTGACATTTCCATTCTAGTCCAAAGTAGTGAAGAGTCAGGGCTTAGTTCAAAAAGTATTTTGAGACCTCCTAGTCTACACTTTATTTATTGCAGGCTGCTCACCCTTACACGTGACTAAATTCCCTTTATTCATGCATTCATTCATAAAACAAGTATTTATCGATCTACTACGCGACAAGCAGAGCAGCTTACTGAGATAGGGTGATACTCTGTGACTGATGAAGGCAGGAGCAGCCATTGGTATAATCAGCAGGTGACTCATTCGTAGTTCAGATCTTGCCTTTCTGAGGATTATATAAGGTCCAAGTACAGCTCTTTCAAGAACCAAAGAAAATGCTAATGGCTGTCTAGCAGACAAAGAGCAGACAAAGACTGGTTTAGTATTGATAAAATAAGATCAGGTAAATACAAAGAAAATTAATTGAACCTAGAGAAGTGATTAAATGATCAAGAACAGTACTGGTACACCAGTTAAACTGATTATTGATAGCTATTAATGACACCATGAAGTATTGAACACTTTAGTGCCTTGTTCCTTGGCACTAAAAAGTCTAGGAGACAGGCCTATCTTGTACACTTGACCTGAGTGATATTTTTGCCCCAATGCCTACCCTTGATTTTCTGTTTCCACTCCCTCAAAGAGGATTACTTATCTGGGAAAAAAATAAGCAATAACTGAAGGAAGAAAAGGATTAAGGGGGCTAGAGGACAGTCAACCAAGTGTTCACCTACAAAATGCTTATGAGAAGCAGAAAGAACTTTCAGAGCTATTCATCCTCATCATATTTATCTGAGGGACAGTGAAGGTAGGACTGCTCTCGTTTTGTAATAATGGAAGTTTGGATATAGGACACCAAAACTGATACCTATCTGGGACAGGAATTTGCACAACTAATGCAAGATCACTCTGTTCTGAGGCTACTTTTGCTAGTAGTATTACTATCAGCAGTAATACTATTTATTGAGTACTTTGTGTATATGACAAGGAAAGGCAACACTTTAAGGATGGGAGAAAATCCAGCTCAAAAGCTGAAGTTCACTCTGTGGTTTAATTTCATCTGTGTTTATTTGTCTACATATTGTCTTTGAGACCAATTTCCTTTCCATTGTAAATTTCCCTTAGACCTGCACTGTCCAGTAAGGTGGCCTCATGTAACTAATTTCGTTAAAATTAAGTAAGTTTAAAAATTTCATTGCTATATTGATTTTAAGTGCTCAGTGGTCATGTAAGTACTGTGTGATATAGCATAGATATAGAATATTTTCATTATCCTGGAAAGTTGGGCTGGGCATGGTGGTTCATGCCTATAATCCCAGAGCTTTGGGAGGCCAAGGCAGGAGGATCCTTGAAGCCAGGAGTTTGAGACCAGCCTGGGCAATATAGTGAGACTCAGTCGCTATAAAAAAAATAAGTCTGGTGTGGTAACACACACCCGTAGTCTTAGAAAGGCCTAGGCTAGAGGATCACTTGAGCCCAGGAATTTGAGGCTACAGTGAGCTATGATCTGGCCACTGCACTCCAGCCGAGGTGACAGAGCCAGACCCTGTCTCTTAAAAAAAGAAAACAAAGAAAAAGGAAAGTTGGAAAGCAGTAGACCCCAGTAAGAAATTCCAGGGATAAGAGTTAAATTATGAAGAATAACATTTTTTAAAAGGTGTTATTCCTGAAAGAACATAGTACAAAGGAAGTATTGTGACAGGATGTTACAAAATAGGTTAAAAAAAAAAAAAAGCCACGAATCCTGTGCCCTGTGTTGGTGTTTTGTCTTGGTCTTTCTTCAGGTTTCTCACTTGCCCTCCCTAATCCTTCTTCCTGCCCCATTACTGTCCATACTAGAACTGAAGTACAATTTAAAATAATTCCATCATTGGGCATATTGAATAAAGTTTTAGGTTATCCTGTTAATTTTTAATTGAGCTAATTTTCACTTTTTACTGTGACTTTTAAAAATTATCCAGTAATAGCCAAATTAAGTTGCTTTTAACTTATTTTTATGATCCTTTATTCCCCCCCCCACCCCGTATGTCAGTGACCCCCAGGGAAGGAAATGCTCTCTAGTTTTTGGAATAGAGACTGTGTAAAGAGACTAACCTAGGGCTTTCTACATGGTCTGCAGAACTTTGTTTTGGATCCAGTGTCTGTGCTTTTGTTACTGTTGTGACTTTACATAAAATATGTATCCAGCAGGGAGCTGTCTTTCTTCTTATACATTTTGAAAAGTAGTTTATGCTCCTTCCTTTCTTTCCTCTTCCCTTCATGAAAAGCATGTAGAAGAGGTATGTTGACTGCAATTCTGATAAAAAATGTAGGAAGTCTACTCAAGATTGCTAATGTTAAAGTGAGTTTAAAACTGTACAAAGGGAGCATGGCAAAATTACAGTTAGCTCCAACTTTATTTTCATCCTGCACAGCAGAACACAGTACAACTCTGTCCGCTCAAAAATGGGAATAAAATAGTTACAAAGAGGCCTCCCAGGTTGGAAGCAACCACAGCTTTCACTGCTATTTCTGGGTTCCATCCACTGCAAGTACAGAAAACAAAAAACCCTAACAATTTTGAAAAGCTAATATTTATTGGGCTCTTTCTATTTGCCAAGCACTTCATACACAATGTCTCATCCAGTTGGAGAACCCTTACAAATGTAAGTCAGATCCTACTTTTGTTTATTTTGACACAAAAAATGGAAATGGCTGAGGGCATGGCCTAACATGTGAGCACAGAAGTGTACTTGGACTGAATATGAGTATAAGAGGAAGCACTTGGGCCTCACATACAGTTAACTCTGCCAGCCAGCCAGTACCCAGGGGCCATCAGCCTATAGTGGATTCGCAACGTGAATATCCAAAAAGTATTTAATTCTGTAAACCTAACTTTGTCTTATACTTACTGTGTTCATGACTTTTCTGACGTCGCTTCCAGTTTTCAAAGACGGTCAGCTACAAGGAACCACTTGGCTTTGTTTTACTTACCCCAACACATTTTGTTCCTACCGAGATGTGGATTGAATTTTCTTTCTTAATAATGTTTTATGTTTGTTAAAACTGTTATCAACATTATTAACATTGAAAGTTTTAAACTGCCTTAAAAAGCTACTTTGCATATTTTGAACCACGAATAACTCTAGTCTGGAGGTGGCTTAGACCACAAAATACTATTTGTGGGTTTAAGCTCTGTATCTTTTAAATCCATCATATGTACAGTGTAAACTTGAGTACCTAATAAAATAAATGTCACAATGTTTAAATAGCATTTCTCTTTAGCAGTAAAATGCTTTGTCATCTGTGCAGTAATAAATTGTGTGCTGAATTCTTTTTAGCCCTGAGAATATGATTATTGAACAAAATTTCCAATGAGTCAAGTCAGGCCTTTAAATGATAAAGATCCTTAAATATAAACAGTAAGTCAAGTACTACAGCAAAAGCTTCGATTATTGTAAATGTGTTTCCTGTGGCAAGTTCACTACTGATAAGAGCTTTTTATCCAAAACTGTACTATGTGCCAAATACAACTTAATATTTATTACATGAATATGTTTTTGAAAACAAAAAGAATAGGCCAGGCACTGTGGCTCATTCCTGTAATCCCAGTACTTTGGGAGGTCAAGATAAGCAGATCACCTGAGGTCAGGAGTTCGAAAACAGCCTGGCCAACATGGTAAAACCTCGTCTTTACTAAAAATACAAAAAATTAGCCAAGCATGGTGGCAGGCACCTGTAATCCCACCTACTCTGGAGGCTGAGGCACGAGAATCACTTGAACCCAGGCAGCAGAGGTTGGCAATGGGCCGAGATCCCACTACGGCACTCCAGCCTGGGCAACAGAACGAGAATTCATCTCAATTAAAAAGAAAAAAAAAAGAATAAAGTTCTAATGGCACTAACTTAACACTCTTGTAATGAATTTGATGCTCAAAAACATGGTACTTAAAGAGACCATTTTATAATGTATATTCATCAAATTCCTTTTATAAACTCAGTATCCAATAAATGGTGACTGAGAATTGATAACTGCCTTATGTATTTAAAAACAACTTTTGTAGTTTATTATTTGCTTGCTTAGTGAAATTATTGCTTCTTTGTTTCTGAAATCTTCATAGGATTCTCATGAAGAGTCTAAGAATCCAACTCCCATTTGTTTTGATAAGTGATTGGCAAAAGTGATTTCATTCTTCCTTTGTAAAGATGAAGTTCATGTTTCTATACCTATTATTTTAGGTAGCCACTGAATTTACAGGAAACAAAGTATAAAAATTTTTCTGTCACTTTGTTCTACCTCCAATAATGGTGTTTTTAATGCTGTTAAATAAGGAGTTCTGAATCATCCTAAAGATATTTTCTTAGGAACTACTGATATCAAATATCAAGATTTTATGAGCTCTATCAAACACATGAAAAATATTCAAATAATTATAGTAGCCCTGGTTTGCAATGATGTAGAGCAATTAGCCATCTTAAACACTGTTCTTAGGGTGAAAAACTAGAACATTTATGATGTTTTAAACCCTTTATAAAATGTTCAAAACTGTTACAGGTGACACATGATCCTCCTTTTTCCTTTTGTTCAGTTCAGGCCTCTGTACTGCCCCCTTCTGTCTTATCCCCAAGCACACATGAATCAGCCCAAGTCCAGAAGTGAGTTCAGATTCGATCTGTTCTCTTAGTCCCTTCCCCTTTACCATTGATTAAATCAGGAATGGGTCTATGATCCAATTATGACCAGAAGTTCCATTCCAAGAGATGTTTGCTGGAAGCTTTAAGAAAATTATTTCTTACGAGCGTATATACTCAGTGTTCACCACAGTCTTATAATGTTTAAAAATAGGAAATACTAAAATGAGAAATACATTGATTTACTCAAACAAGAGTGTGAAGCTGTTAGAAATGAAGATGTGGTTCTTTGCTGATGTAGTAGAATGTCCCAATAGATTGTTCTGGGAAAAAGGCAAGTTAAAAATAGTGTTATAAATACTAAAAAACAAAACAAAACAAAACCCCACAGTATTTTAAATAGCATTCTAAATGTACAATTTGTTATTTCTATAACTATATATCTCTTCTCATAGAATTAGAAGAGGTAAACAATCAAGTTTCAGGAAAGCAGGAACCACTACTACTTTGAGAACTTCAGATATGGATTGTGGAATTCAAGAAAACCATAAAAAGGCTCAGCCCTTTGTATCTACCACTTAATGAAAGTTGGTTACATTCTCTTTTATTGTTGGTATTCTCCGGACATGACAGAGCAGTGGTGGCTGATGGTCCAATTTTGTCACCAAAAGGAACTGGAGAGAAGGCTTGTATTCCCACCCTCCAGTTAAAAAAATGCCAGGAAATGACTTTCTTTGGCACACCTTGAATGATATACAATCTCTTTAACCAAATTACTGGGGCCATGAGGAGTCAGGTACTGTTCATAATAGGCTCAGCTTGAGTCAGGTATATGCCTCTAAACCAACTGTGGGGACCAAGTAGGCAAGGCCACACACAATGACACCTCCCTTTCTAACTACATTCTAGAAGAGTAAAGGCAGATGCAGAATCCAGGTAGGAAGGATAGGCAGTTCTGTCCCAGAAGGAAGTTAAGCGTGCTGGGCAGATTAGGAAAAAAAAAAAAAAAAAAATCGCACATATCCTTAAGTGAGAATCAGAGTCAGCTGGGAGAACATTTTAAAATTAAACAGTGAATCTTGCTTTCTTTTCCCACAGGTGGTAAAGTTGAGATGAGAATATGTATTTTTGAGAAAGCTGCTTAGGAGTTTATTGTCTATTCTAACCCCTAGAGAATCTCTTTCCTTTAATGTTACATAGAAAATAAACTAGCATGGAGTTTCCCAAGCTTGCAGTTGACTGGGTGCTTTTGTGTTAAATTGTCATGGTGTTAACATTTTTTGTTTTGCCCTTTAAACTTGATTTATCTGCAAATCTACAAACATTTGAATTATGTAAATAGGTATCTGTACGGGAAAAACACTTTTTGCTCATATGATCTTGAGAAAGAACTTAGATTCTGGCGCCTTAAAACGTGGCACCTTTTTAAAAAGTCCTTGGGGCTTTTGAGTCACCATATAAATGAGGTCTCTCAACTTAGTATGCCAGGGAGATCAGTCATGTCTGATTTTAAAATAAAACGCTGCAAAGAAAGCTTCTGGGAGGAATGAGAGCATGCCCCAAATCACTACTCTGTAATTAGTCTTTGAGCAGAGTGGACAGAAATTTCGTCCCAAAGCCACCGTCTTTGCTCTGCTTCCGTTCTCTGTAAGCATGTCACACGAACCACACTTGTACGCCATGCATCCCAGTTTAAAGCTTTCCTTGGGAAGTTTCCCTAGCTTTATTGCTTATGGAAAGAGCAGCTCTGGCTCCCAATTCGTTTAATACATCCTGTCCGAGAGCGTTTTATTACTGAATGTTATCCACGTTCTGATAACAAGGGGACGCTGTGTCCTCCACCGGTGAACTCACTCCGCGTTCCAGAAATATAGCGTGACTGCCCTCCCCGCCGGTGTTGTGAAAGTGGAAGCCGGGCGCCGCCCTCCAGCACCTGCGCCTCCAGCCCGGCAACGGCCGCGGGGAGCACGAAGTGCGTGCGACCGCAGCCCGGCAGGTCACGCAACCCCAAGCGGCCGCGCCGCCTGCGTGCCTGCAACCCGCCGGCCCCGCCCCCGCCGATTGCTTCCGCCGCTTTCCTGCACGCTCGGGCTTCCTGGTGCCCCGAAGCCTGCCTCGCGTGCCGACCTCGCTGCGTAATCCGGCGAGGAATCCCAGATTCAGCCCAGCCCCCGACGCCCTCTACCAACGTTAGCCTGAGCAGGTGATGCCCTCATTTTAACGCCGAGAAGTGTCCGTCTCCGATATACAGCAAACACCTCAGGCTGCGAAACGTGGGAGAAGGGGACAGCGGGCGAGGAGTCGGCATGGCCCCTGGGCCCCTCTCGGCCCCGTTGGCGCCTGCTCTCTGCCCGCTCCGTCTGGCGACCCCGGCCCGGCTGCGAAAGCAGCAAGGTGGCCTTCCACATTGCCTGGATTTCGCAGGCAGGGGCGGGGGCGGCCCAGCCAGGGCTAGGAGAGCTGGGAAGAGGTCCCCGGCGAGTGACCTTCGCGAAGCTGCCTCACCCCGCCTGCCTGGAGCCGGGAGCCCGGCGTGCACTGACGCCCGGGGCGCGCGGGGGGCGACTTTCATTGCCGGGCTGCTGACCCGAGCGACCCGGCGTCGCCTCTAGAGGTGCGCCGGCGGGCAGTGAGGGGCAGGGCTCGCTGAGGCTGAAAGGAGCGAGGGCTGGCGCTGTGTAGGTTAGATTCTTTGTTGACGTCTGGCAGCCGTCTTTTGAAGAAAGAGAAAGGGGCCATTATTGCAAGTAGGGTGGGCTTCATCGTGGGCCTCGAAGGATCAGAGGTGGGCGAGCCGGCTGTCAGAGCCCCTCTCACGCCACGCCGCGTGCAGGCGAGGGAACGCGCGTGTCGTGACGACCGGCGATGAGATCAGTTTGAATAACCACAGCGTAAGGGCTGAGAAATGCAGCCAGTCACGCAGCCGCTGCCTCGGCCGGGCGCCGGCTCTGCTCGGGTGGCCGCAGCCGTCCAGTGCACAGCTACAGCAGAAGGAGCTGGGGGTGGATCAGCCTCTTCCAGACGGTCGCTGGTGGGGGCGTCAGAACTATTTCAAGAGGTGGGGAGCCAGAAGAGAAAACAATACAAAATGCAACTTGCATGGTTAGGAGGCTAAATTCTATGAGCAAATCGGCTTTCGAGAAGCACACTGAAAATCACTCTGTAAACGGTTGTCTCTTACACTTTGCCCAGTAGATAACTGTAAAAATCACTCTAACACGGAATTCAAAGGTCATTCAAATGTGCCTTCAATTTGTTTATATTACTTCATTTAACAGGCAGTACACACGGCTTGCATATGCGTGCATGAAATTTAATTTATGCAGTCAAGTCTGGAAGCATGGTTTGGCAAGAGGAATAATTGTGAATTCAGTAAGAGTCAGGGTACAAACAGATTACTTAAAAGGACAAATGAACTGAGAAAAAAAATAAGTCCATGAGGAAACTATTACATTCATCTTTTCATGGTCTTGAACATCTTGTACCAACTCAACATTAAGACCCAGCGGAAATTTCTAATTAGACACAGAAAACACACATATTAGCCGTGCGGGCAAGCATCAAAAAAGCCTCATGTTAGAGACAGACATACGAATAACATCTATAATGTAAGAGCATAGATCTTTTAAAATTCTGTGTTGCAGTCATTTCCTTAGTATACATTTGGCTCACTGATAGATATGTTACTATAAAACAAATAAGATTAATCACCAGGTACAGAAAAAGGTTTTGCTGTGAATTTAAAATTTGTATCCAATTTTTTTTTTTTTTTTCTTGAGACAAGGTCTCTGGTTGCTCAGGCTGGAGTGCTGTGGTGGCACCCTTTATTTCCCAGGCTCAAGCGGTCCTGTCACCTCAGCTTTTCCAGTAGCTGGGACCACAGGTGCGCCACCACGCTGGGCTAATTTTTTTTTTTTTAAAGAGGTAAGGTCTCCCTATGTTGCCTGGGCAGGTCTCGAACTCCCAGGCTCAAGCCGTCCTCCCACTTGGGATTCCCAAAGTGCTGGGATTTACAGGCATGAGCCATCGTGCCGGGACCAGAATTTTTCTTTTTAAACATGTTCATGTGTGTAATGTGAGTTTAGTGGGAAATAAGGAGCCAATCCTTAGTACCTAGAAAACTGCATCAAATTAATATTATGAATGATGAAAGGAATTAATTAATGTGTGGGCAGTACTCTAATGGTTAGAGCTGTGAACTAAAGTGTCATGAATGAGTAGTGCCAGCCCTGCCACTGACTCATGTGTGACCCTGGTGTGTTAGAAGTAATGCTTACATCATACCTACCTTGCCAGAAGTATGGAGGGAGCTATTCCTTACTACAGGTGCTTCAGGATCCTTAGAGGAGGGTGATACTTCAACTATTATAGAGTAATACACCACTGTTATGACAACCTACATGTAAAATTACAAAAGTGTAATTTACATACAATACTGGCACCATTTTTTTTCATTTGTATATACTCTATCAAGTACTAAAATACAGTATAGAAGGCTGCATCTTTATAAAATATTTGGCTTATAGAATCTTCATCGTCATTGGACCAATATTTCATGATGTGCAATGGAAGTTTTAAATAATCAATGGTACTATACTTAACTAATAATATGCATATATAATTAATAATGATATAGTTATTAGTAAGGTGTATAATACTATAATAATAATATACCATTATATAAATACTATTACAGTAATATTTGTAGTGATGGTATTTTCTGAGAGTGGAGACCTCTGGTGTATGAAGTGCCTAGGAGAAAACTAACTTTTGGTGACTTTCTTAACTTGATGCATGGAATCTTGAAGATAAGGGACATTTTTGGTGTAATTTTCTATTGCTGAGTGAATGAAAGTCCAGAGATGTAATCACAGTCCCATTGTATATCAGACATTGGTCTAGGTGTTGGAGACACAGCAGAGAACAGACCAAACTGATTACTTAATGTTTAAATGTTTTTTGGTCTCTATTTAAATGCAGATTACCTTAGAAATAGTAATGCACTGTGCACATCTTTGTGTAAACCCTTTCCTGTTCTAAGCTCTTGGTAGAGGGTCCTTCAGAGGGTCAGAAAAGTAATGACAGAGGGGCTTTCTGGAAAGAGAATTGAAGGCAGAACAGTGGTAGGCAGTTTTAACTGGAATCAAAAGGCAGATACCAGTCTTTCATCAAGCTTTCCTGTTTAGAAAATGGCTATACAAAAGCATATAATACTTTACTTTCCATCATTCTCCTCATTAAAGTTGGCCTCATGTTTCTTAATTATCTCTGCTCTCATATTAAGTCTATAGGTGTCATTTTTATCAGGGTCATAGGCACTTGTGCAGTTTGCTGACTGCATGGTGGTGCCTGTGGAGGAGGCAGGTAGGCATTAAACTCCAGACCAAGCTTTATGTGCCAACACAGATGTTTTGCATCCTCGTAAGTTAGGGGCATCTTGAATAAAAGCACGATGAGGCCACAGTAGCTGTCTTTGTTCTTTAGAGTTCTCAGGCATCTAAGTCCTACCTACCCTTTGGCATATATTTTCCTGTTGTATTTAATAGCATTGCTCTGCTCTGAGTTGCAAGATAGGGAACACTGCAGGGTGAGGAGAAGCCAAGGCTGAAGGAGAAGTGAACCACCCCTATCAGCTTCCAAGATGTCTAATTAATAACTAGATAAATGAAGACTACCTAAGGCATGACGATGCTGTGTGAAATGTTTTGCAGCAAAAAAGAAAGCAAAGCAATGATAGACAGCAACCTGCCTTTTCAATTTTAACAGACAGGAAGAACTGTCAGCTCACAACAAATTGCCTCAGTCTTGCATTGCAACTGGAGAACATGATACAGTCAGACAGCGTGGCTCAACCTTTTGGCCGAGCCCATTTGTAGGATTTGATATCAGATGATTTGATATAAGATATATGTCATGCCGAACCCTGGGGATGGCCTTGAGATTAAAGTGTTTTCCCCTCCCTGTTGCCAACTTCTCTGTGATCTGTTGACATTACATCATGTGGCAAACAATGAGTGGTAGAGACTGGAGACTGCCGTGTCAGGGTGTAGTGACCTGATTAGTCCAAACACCTGCAGGGGAGACGTGCAAATAGATGAGCCCCAACAGGACCTGAAGAACCATGTGGTTTTGAAATTCTGGGTGGATGGGCCACACCCTGCATACACCTTAAATCTCCTGGCACTTTGAAAGTACAATTATTGCTCAACAACTCTAGGTTAATTAGATCTTTATATGATGTGATTATCATAAATGTAACATTAAATGTAACTTTTAAAAATGTACAAATGTGTGCATAATATAAATGTATAAAACAAATTTGCAATTAATGTCTTATAAGGGCACAAAATGATCGAGATGGATTAACACCTTAAAAAATGCAATCTATTCCTAGCAATAGTTAAGCAGTTTGTTTTGTAGCCTAACACATAGGTCTAAAGAAAATGAAACATATGAAGTTTCATTTTCATATGAACTCTGCATTATGCAGCTTGTCATTTCACTTAAGGTTCCTATGGGATTTTTAAATTATTGAATGATCGTTATTTACAAAAGGCTTTTGAGAGTGTTGCTTTTACTTTTATGTGGTTTCAAGGTGGGGAGACAGATTAAAGATGTTAAGTAAAATATTCCATAAATGCTCTATCTACCAAAAATAAGAGAATTAATCCATTTGTGGAACCTTACTTATAGAAGACACTTGGTAAACATAATTTATTACTCTAAACTAATTAATATAATTCCCCACCCTGAAACAATAAATGTAGCATGCAATATATTGTTCCCTGTTTGAGGACAGATACTGCTGCTTGTTAATATTTGCATTGCTCGTACTACCCAATAAGTGATGATGGTTGAATGAATC